CACACTAAAACCTTGGGCAGCTTTAAAAGTAGGTTGGCCAAATATTTTTTTTAACACACCAGACAAATATATAAGTAAGAAACACTGGACTGGAGATGGACCTGCTTGGCAATGGCCAGTAGACCTACTGCAGTGCTCCTTAACTTTTATTTTTTTTTATTTTGATTGTGCAGTGGAACTCCAGATATTGTACACACCGAGTATCATATATTTCAGATTTAGACCACTTTTTTGGGCTAAAATTTGGTCCAGATTTCGTACCTCCACCCAGAAATAGTATCAGACGCGTCCGCCCGCCCAGGAAGCCGCCACTCATGCTTACGTGTCTCAGTCTGGCACTGTCACTGGTCTAGTGAGGGTGTTCATCCGAAACATTTCATAATAATCCATTTGTGCTTAACTATTGAGTGCAACTGTGAAATAAGCCACCATGGGCCCAAAGAAAGTTCCAAGTGCCAGCCCTTTGGTACAGAAACATAATAGAATTCAAGAAAGAAATTGTAGAAAAATATGAAAGTGGCGTACGTTTAGCCGAGCTTGCCAGGATGTATGGGAAGTCGAAATCAACAATCTGTTCCATCCTGGCAAAGAAAGTAGAAATCAAGGAAGCTAAAGTTGCAAAAGGGGTAAATATGCTAACAAAACAGAGATTACAAATAATCGAAGATGTGGAGAAGTTGTTGTTGGTGTGGATCAATGAAAAACAGTGGGAGATAGTGTTGCGGAGTCGATCATTTGTGAAAAGGCAAGGCAATTACATGCAGATCTCGTAAAGAAAATGCCTGGAATGAGTGCTGCTGTTAGTGAATTTAAGGCCAGCATAGGCTAGTTCAATAGATTCGAGAAGTGTAGTGGCACACACAGTGTTGTAGGGCATGGTGAGGCTGCAAGTTCGAACAAACATGCGGCTGAAGAATTCGTTGACAAATTCAAGGAGTACGTAGAGGCTGAAGGATTCATCCCCAACAAGTGTTCAATTGTGACGAGACAGGCCTCTTTCGGAAGAAAATGCCAAAGAGGACCTACATCACACAGGAGGAAAAGACACTGCCAAGACACAAGTCTATGAAGGATAAGCTAACTCTTCCGTTCTGTGGTAACACTAGTGGGGATTTCAAAGTGAAGCCTTTACTGGTGTACCACTCTGAAAATCCCTGAGTGTTCAAGAAAAACAATGTCATCAGGAGAAAACTGCGTGTGATGTGGAAAGCTAATAATAAGGCATGGGTCACGAGGCAAATTTTTGTTGACTGGGTCCATTAAGTGTTTGGCCTGAATGTGAAAAAATACCTCCTGGAAAATAATTGCCACTCAAGTGCCTCTTGGTACTGGACAATGCTCCTGCTCATCCTCCAGACTTGGAAGACCAGTTGTTGAGGGACTCCAGTTGTATAACAGTGAAGTTCTTGCCTCCTAACACCACTCTTCTCATCCAGCCCAGGGACCAGCAGGTCATTTGTAACTTCAAACAACTCTACACAAAAGCAATATTTCAAAGGTACTCTGAAGTCACCTCGGACACTGAATTAACCCTAAGAGAGTTCTGGAGGAATCACTTCAGTATCCTCCACTGCATAAGCTTATAGGTAGGGCTTGGCAGGAAGTGACTTTCAGGACTTTGAATTCTGCTTGGAGAAAACTGTGCCCAGAATGTGTCCTCAACAAGGATTTTGAAAGATTTGAGGCTGACCCTGAAAACCCTACACCTGTTGTGGAATCTATTGTCTTTGGGTATGTCCATGGGGTTGGAGGTGAGTGGCCAGGATGTGGAAGAGTTGGAGGAGGACCACAGGGAAGAGCTAACCACTGAAGAGCTGCAAGACCTTCAATTGGAACAGCAACAGACCTCAGTTGAGGAAATTGCTTCAGAGGAGGAGGAAGAGAGAGGGAAGAAGTTGCCTTCTTCAGTGATTAAGGACATGTGTGCAAAGTGGAATGAGTTGCAAACTTTTGTGGAAAAATATCATCTTGACCAAGCTGATACAAGCCGTATCTGCAACATTTTCAGTGACAATACTTTGTCCCATTTTAGGCAACTCTTAAAGAGACGCCAGAAACAGAACTCTCTGGACAGATTTTTAGTGAAACAGGGGTCCAGTGCCAGTAAAAGATGAAGAAGAGAAGTAACCCAGGATTGGGCTTTGATACTTGAAGTCCTTATGGAAGGGGATTCCCTTTCCAAATAACAAGCTCTCCTCTCTCTCCCCTCCTCGCCTTTTTCCATACGCCAACAAGAGTCTTCAATAAAGGTATGTAATATAGTGATTTCAACGTTCATTTATCCATTTCATTAGTGCTTTATATTTATTTCTAACTGTTTTCTGTATGTAAAACTATACTGTAGTTATTCTTTAAAATATGTATTTTATGTTAATATTTTTGGGTGTCTGGAACAGATTAATTGTATTTACATTACAGTGATCCCTCAATAATCATCCATAATCCGTTCCTGGAAGTGGGACTATTATCGAAATGGACGATTTACGAATCAATTTTCCCCATAAGAAATAATGTAAATTCAATTAACCCGTTCCTGACACCCAGAAGTATTAAAACAAAAAAATTTTTTACATGAAATATAGATGTAGTACATAAACAATACAGTGGCACATGATGAATTAAACATTAACAGAATAACACTTACCTTCATTGGCGATTCTTCTTTGTGTATGGAAGACTGGAGAAGGAGACTGATTGGATGATTTACTGTTTGGAAGGGGAATCCCCTTCCATCAACACCTCGGGTACCAATTGCTTTTCTGGGGTTACTTCTCTTCTCTGTTTCTTAATGCCACTAGGACCACCTTGAGAGTCACTGGAGTCCTGTCTCGCAAAAAAACTGTCCAGAGAGCTCTGTTTCTGGCGTCTCTTTAAAACTTCCCTAAAATGGGCCAAGACTCTGTCACTGTACAAGTTGCGATATGGCTTGCAACATCCTTCTCTGGGTGATGTTTCTCCATAAATCTTTACATCCTACCCCACATTTCAAAAATCTCCTTAATTTCTGAAGGTGGCACCTTCCTCCATCTCTCTTCCTCCTCCTCTGCAGCAAGATTCTGAGATGCAATCTGCTGCTCTTCCTGCTGAAGCTCTTGCAGCTCCTCAGTGGCTAGCTCTTCGTTGTGGTCCTCCACCAACTCTTCCACATCCTCCAAACTCACATCCAACCCCAGTGCCACAATGGATTTAACAACTGACATAGGCTCATCAGGGTCAGCCCCAAACCCTTCAAAATCCCTCTTGTGGACACAATCTGGCCACAATTTTCTCCAAGCAGAGTTCAAAGTCCTGGTAGTCACTCCCTCCCAAGCCTTGCCTATAAGGCTTACGCAATGGAGAATACTGAAGTGTTCTTTCCAAAAATCTCGTAGGGTCAAGTGAGTGTCTGAGGTCACATTCAAGCACCTTTCAAACATTGCTTTGGTGAAGAGTTTTTTAAAGTTTGCAATGGCCTGCTGGTCCATGGGCTGGAGGAGAGGAGTGGTATTCGGGGGCAAGAACTTTACTGTGATGAACCCAAACTCCTCGAAAATTAGGTCATCCAAGTTTGGAGGATGAGCAGGTGCACTGTCCATTACTAGGAGGCACTTGAGATCCAATTTCTTTTCCAGGAGGTAATTCTTCACACTAGGGCCAAACACTTCATTGAACCACTCGACGAAAATGTCCCTTGTGACCCATGCCTTACTATTAGATCTCCAAAACACACACAATTTACTCTTCACAACACTGTTTTTCTTGAACACTCTGGGATTTTCAGAATGGTACACTAGTAATGGCTTCACTTTGAAATCCCCACTAGCATTAGCACAGAACATTAGTGTCAGCCTGTCTTTCATAGGCTTGTGTCCTGGCAGTGCCTTTTCTTCCTGAGTAATATAGGTCCTCTTTGGCATTTTCTTCCAAAAGAGGCCTGTTTCATCACAACTGAACACTTGTTCAGGTTTCAGTCCTTCACTGTTTATGCACTCCTTGAATTCATGCACATATTTTTCAGCCGCCTTGTGGTCCGAACTGGCAGCCTCACCATGCCTTACCACACTGTGTATGCCAGTATGCTTCTTAAATCTCTCAAACCAGCCTTTGCTGGCCTTAAATTCACTCACATCATCACTAGTTGCAGGCAATTTCTTTACCAAATCGTCATGCAACTGCCTAGCCTTTTCACAAATAAGCGACGCCATAAGACTCTCTTGCTAACTGTTTCTCATTTATCCACACCAATAATAATTTCTCAACATCTTCAAGTACTGGTGATCTCATTTTCGTCAGCATATTTACCCCCTTTGCAACAACAGCATCCTTGATTTCCTTTTTCTTGGCCATGATGGAAGATATGGTTGTACGGGATTTGTTATACATCATGGCCAGTTCGCACACACGTACGCCACTATCATATTGTTCAATGATGTTTTTCTTAAATTCAATCGTATTTCTCACCTTCTTTACCAAAGGCTTGGCACTAGGAGCTTTCTTTGGAGCCATGGTAGCTTATTTAGCACTTAAATAACTTGCAAGCATTAAAATAAATGGAATATTATGAAATATTTCGCTGGAGCACGTGAGGGGACCATCGCTCACTGGTAAACAATGGCACACTGGCTGGGAAGGAAAGGCCGAGGCGGCTCAGAGCGTGAGTACATGTCCGGGACGAAGGACTATTAGCGAGTTACTGGACCATTTGCGAGCCAATATTTTGACGAAAAAACAGGACTATTTCCGAAATGGACGACTTTCAGGCTGGATGATTATTGAGGGACCACTGTATTTCCTATGGGAAATATTACTTCGGTTTTCATACGTTTCGGATTTAGACCGACCTTCTGGAATGGATTAAGTACGAAATCCGGAGTTCCACTGTATTTATAACGGGTATAACTCTGGGCATACTAATAAGAAAAAATGCAACTTATGGCCGGTTATATGCAAAAATTGATTTCTTCTGAGGTCTTTTATCTGACTTAAAAATTAAAACACTATAGAAATACTTATGTACTAACCTGGCCATAGGGCTTTCCATATTTAAGAGTTAACTGGTCAGCAATAAGCTTCAGTTCTGCAACATCTGTTTGGAGTCTTGGTGCAGCCCAGATGAGTGACGAAATCGCCTCAGCAAGACCCTCATCAAGATCTCTGAGGAGAAAATTCAAGCTTCATTAGTACTGTGGTTAACTCTTTCATTGTCCATGCCATAGTCCTATGGGTTTGAGGTCACTGTCAATGTCATAGTACTGTACTATGCCATAAGCTCAGCTCACTGAGATAAGTAATGAGCAGTAAATTTGGGCCTAGATGCAAGAGAATGGGTCTATGCAGTAAGCATTCACCATATAAAAAAAAGCAGCATGCAGTGCATGAGAAAAAACTGCAACAGTGTTTTAGTTTAAACAGCAACTTTGCGGTGTATTTTCATACGGATTTATGGTTGTATTTTCGGTTTCTTGGTCTCATTTGATAGAATGGAAGATACATTACATAAATAGAGTTGATTCTGATTGGTTTCAGAAATGAAAATAGTTTGAAATTGAGCTCAAAGTAGCGGAAATGTTTGATTTTTGCAGATATTCAAGAGTAAACTAATCACATCACTCATCCAATACACGTCCAACTGGCGAGTCTAATGTGTGCTCATAAATGCATTGATATTACTTATATAGTTATTATACTATTGCAAAACAGTAAATTTTCTATTTTTTGTGTGTGAATAAAAATTCTTTGTGTGAATAAAAAATAAAAATGGAATTCATACGTAAAGCCTGGAAACATAACTAATGCACAGAGGAATTATTTTAGTGCCAGGAATGTCTGCGCTGCTTATTCTGGACCCTATTTTGAAATTGGAATATTTGGAAATTTGTGTGAAACTGGACAAATCACCAATTTCTGATCACTTTACTGGGTAGTTGAAATAGTTGATTGGGCTGTTTCTTGTGCTCAGTTGATAAAATGGAAGACATACTAGCAAAATAGCTAAGAATTTGGTCTACTGGAACAATGTAACTGGCCTAAAACAATTTAACCCTTTCAGGGTCCAGAGGCCAAATTACAAAGTGTGCACTAGGGTCCAAGAATTTTCAAAAAATAATTTCGTTATTTTTTCTTATGACATGGTAGAGAATCTTTTTTCTGAAGGTAATAAAACAAAAAATTACGAAATTTGATGGAAAATTGATGAAATTATGCTCTTGCGAATTTTGATGTGTCAGCAACATTTATGCATCGGTAATTTTGCCGACTTTGACTTCCATTTTAGGCCAATTACATTAGTCCAGTTGACCAAATTCTTAGCTATTTCACTAGTGTTACACCTATTCTATCGATTGAGCACAAGAAATCACCAAGTCAATTGTTTCAACTACAAAATAAAGTGATCGGAAGTTGGTAGTCGGCCAATTTAATGCAAAGTTCAAAATATTCCAGTTTCAAAATAGGGTCCAGAATAAACAATGCAGACATTCCTGGCACTAAACTAATATTTCCTCCGTTCATTAGTTACGTTTTCAGGCTTTACAAATGAAATCCATATTGATTTTTTATTCACAATGAATTTTTATTCAAACCAAAAAATAAAAAATTTACTGTTAAGCAATATTGTAATAATTGTATAAATAATACCACCACATTTGTGAACATATATTAGACCAGCCAGCTGGTGTGTATTAGACATGTGAGGTCATTTGTTCACTCTTGAACATCGGCAAAAATTTAACATTTCCGCTACTTTGAGCTCAGTTTCAAGCCATTTCCAATACTAAAACCAATCAAAATCATCTCTATTTCTGTAATATATCTTCCATTCTATCAAATGAGACCAAGAAATTGCAAATACAACTATAAAAACATACAAAAAAACACTGTAAAGTCACTGTTTTAATAAAAAATTACGGTCTCAGTTTTTTCTCATTATCAACTGTGTGCTGCAGGATTTGTTTTATGTGGTGCACACATACCACATAGATGTATTCTCTCATATCTACGCCCAAATTTACCACTCACAGCTTATCAGAGTGAGCTGAGCTCATGGCATAGATCTACGGTTTGGACCCTCAACGTAAAGCCGTAGATCTATGGCACAGACCCTGAAAGGGTTAATTCAAGGCCCAAGAGACTGCCCTATTGAACTCCTATTAAAATATATTTCATAGACGACTCATAATCTAGTAATGATCATTTCGCTCGGTTAATTAAAGCCAGCATCAGTGTGGAGTTAAACCACAAATTTTTCCTATGTATCATATTTTAACATGCAAAATGCTATATGGTATCTTTCACTTACCTCCATATGAAATTCTTGTATTCTTTTTTGCATGTGGTGCACAGTGTGACGCTTCTCTTAACCCGGCTTTGTTTTGCTCCTCCATCGCAAACACATTACATCCCACACCCATGAATGTGTGTACAGTACCCTACATTTTACTACTAACAATGAATATCACTCACCTATCATATGATGCCTTATAAGTGCAGGAACAGAATGGAAAGAGAGTTTGTTCCTAAGAGAAAGAAGAGCGCGCTGAAGAAATTGAAAAATGAGACTGATGGTCATGCTTGCATAAGGTGGCTTTCATATCTTGGTGACGACACATGCATTAATGAATCGATGGTACACTACATTATGAAGGGTGAGAAGCAGATAAGAATCATTATTATTAGTCTAATGATAAACAAGTAGAAATGGGCATATAGTAGTCTGTTGCTAGCCCTGATCTGGTAAATATTTTAAGTGTATGGTTTCCCTCCCTCACCTCAACCCACCAACTCTTCCTCCTTAACTCCCAACACACCTTCCACTATCTTTCCATTTAAGACAAGCAAGCAGGCTAACTACAGTAACACAGGGCAGGCAGGCGGGCAGGGAATGACAGACAAGACAGGACAGACAGGACAAGACGGACAAGACAGAACAAATAGGACAGACAGGCTGGTAAAGAACTGTAGACTTAATACAGTGGAACTCCGGTTTTCGCATGCTCCAGTTATCGGACATTTCGGTTTTAGGACCACTTTTTATGCGAAATTTTGTTCTGGATATCAGACCTTGATCCAGTAATCAGATGTTTTATACACATCCACCAGGGCCACTCATACGTTTGTGACTCACTCTTGGGCATGTTAGATGTCTTGTTTTACGTTAATATAGACATTTCCATTAATCCATCTATGATGCTTTCTTCAAAATTATATAAGAAACACGTTACATAGAAACCAAACCATACCACGGGCAGGGATAGAACCCGCGATGGTATGGTTTGTTTGCAATCATATCATTACGATTTCGTGAGTCACGTTACATAGCACAGTATAAACATGCAATGTTTATACTATGGCGAGTCGGTGGAGGGAAAACATTACACTTCCTCTCTTTCTCTGGTTGAGCATTAGAGAAAACTGTATGAATCTGCGTCTGGCTTTTGTTTACAATTCTCGGCATGAATTATTCATTACTTCTCCCTTTGTTTATGATGGCATCTAAAGGTAGTTGTTAGAAACGATCAGACTCGGTGAACAAGGTATGTTGATGGGCTCTGGGCTGCATTAAATATTGTGTAGCTATGTAGTCCAGGCTACTTACCTCTACTGGCCACCTACATCTACCAGCTACTTAGTAAGTTTATTCAGGTATACACAAATACAGTTACATAGATTATCAGACATAGCAGCGTATGTGTAGAGAACCTAGGATAACCCAAAAAAGTCGGGCACACTGATTTCCTACACTGCTCACCTCTCGCCCTACATTAAGACTACAAATATTTTAAGGTAAGTAACGAATGTGGAAGTGGTGGATGACCACAGGGAAGAGGTAACCACTGAAGAGCTGCAACACTATAGTTAATCTTTAAAAAAATTATTTTTTGTTAATATTTTTGGGTGTCTGAAACGAATTAATTGTATTCACATTATTTATGGGAAATACTGATTCAGTTTTCGCAAATTTCGGTTTTAGAATGACCTTCTTAGAATGACCTTCTGGAACAGAATAAGTTCGAAAACCGGGGTTCCACTGTATTAACGCTCTCGTCACTGTGTCCCACCGTCTGCGTCTGGTACACGTATGGTCTCTCTCCCTCCCTCACTCACTCCCTCCCACTCACCTTTTACACACCCTCCACTATCACTATTTAACCCTTAAACTGTCCAAATGTAGATCTACGTTCATGTGCATAGTGCTCCAACCTTTATTTTCTCCATTTGAAAGCATGTAAAAATAAAACGTACATCTTCGTTCAGAGCGCTACACACGTGAACATAGGCCAACGTTTGGACAGTTTAAGGGTTAAGACCTTTTCTTCACCCTGCTGTCTCTCTGGGCTGATGCCCACCCATGTCTGCTGACCATCATACACGTATCGTATCTCAGATTTTTCATCGCAACTCAAAAGTAAATTTCTTTACGTGGGAAAATTGTAACTCAAGATTATTGCAACCCCTGCTCATTGCAACTCAATGGACCACTGTATACTATGCATTACATTATATTGGTTACCCTACCTCCCACCAAAACGCAAAGCATATTCACCATCACTCACTCAAGTAGTTGTCTTGACAGAAGTGAGCAGACATCACAATTTATATAGCCCTCTGAACTGCAACACCCCCACCCCTCTTTCAGAGTGCAGGTGCTGTACTTCCCACCTCCAGACCTCAAACCTTGAATCCCTTTCTAAATGTTATCTTGCTGTTGGGATGAGAGCATGGCAACATTTACAAGGAAATTTAGGGAGAAAGGCTAGCCTGACTCAAATCTCAGAGGTGAAAAATACAGAGCCTACACTTTGAGGGCTGGGGATGTTGCAGTTTGAAGCATTATTTCAATTGCGATGTCTGCACCCTTCCAGCAAGACAACTATCTGAATGAGTGTTGATAAAAGTGTTCTCTTTCTTGGGTCACTGTCTTGGTGGGAGATGGCCAATGAGTTAAAAAAAAAAAAATTATTATCCGTAGCCGAGCCTGATTGAATGACAGAATACTGTATATCCTTACTTCATTTGCTGGATGAGACCATAGCGAGCAAGGAGTAGGTCACAATACATTTCTGTAACCTCCATGGCCTCCACCAAGTAGTCCTCGCGAATAATGTGTTCCACACGGATCTTGGCTCGCTCTATCTGAAATGTATGGGGAAATCTTGGTATTGTGTTTACATCTACAGTAAGGAAAATTTTATATCATGTAGCTATAATAGGCATATACTGTACTTACCATAATCCCCTAAATCTATGTGAATGGTAGCATAAATGACCACCCTAAGTGCCATACTCTCACAGTCTAGCCTGAGACAAGACTTTCCTGGTGACTATTTAGGCAGGATTTTGCTGCCAGTAAGGGCACATAGCCAACTAGTCAGGCACCTCCAGCAAAAATTTGAATAGTTTCCTCATGAAGATTTCTACCTTTGTTCTAACAATTTTTATTATTAGGGTAAAAAAAAAAAAAAAAAAAAAAAAAAAAAGACTAGAATTTATAGGACAAAGTTTTGCTTATGTATGAGTATTATCATTTCTCCTCAAGTAACAGTTTTCAAATCCTTCAAACATATAACTAGATTTTAAATGTGTGCTTAACCAAAAAGACACTTTTACCAACAGCCCACATTGCCACCACCTTTACCAGTGCATGACACTTTAAAAAGCAGCACAGGTTCTTTCTCAAAATTGAAAACAATTCATAACCTTACATGAAATACATGACTTGGGTTGGTTGGCCAGGTAGTGATACAGAGAGAGATGAAGGGATTTAATATAGAAAAATGTTATGTAATGGAAATGGGAGAAAGTGAAGGCAGGCCACACAATGTACTGTACCACAAAATTAATAACACAAAAATATGACAGTTTCTTACTACAAATTGATACCTTAGTGCAGCATCATGTTCCAAATACAAAGAATTTTCTCCCTTTATGAAACTTCATTAAGAATTCATTAACTTCAGTTTTAGACTGTATATTAAATATCAGAATTATCACAGCATTAACCCGTTCATGTTTGTGATGCCAGGGTTGCTCATGTAGATCTACATATTGAGCTCAGCTCCCTCAGTTGTCAGCAGTATAATTTAGCCTAGATACATGTATGAGAGAACATGTATATGCAGTTAGAGTGTACAGTATAAAAAAACCTTCCCCCTAGGGGATAATGGGAAAAACAAACTTTTGTCCTTGTGTTTGGTGTAAAACAGCAACTTTAGGGGTGTTTTTTAGGTTAGTTTTTTATGGTTTTATTGGTTGTTTCTTGGAATCATTTGACAGAATGGAAGACCTACTACCAAGATTGAGACTATTTTGATCGATTCCAGAAACAGAAGCACAGTAACTTGAAATTAGGCTCAATTTTCCTGAGGATGGGTAAGGCCTTACCCCTTGTCTGTCTTCTGGGTTTTTACTAGGTCTGCTTCAATTACTGGGATGCCCAAAACCATGACCAATCATTCCTGGTTATATTTTATTACCTGAGAAATAGAGTAAAACTTTTGATTTTTTGTGTATACCTGGAGTATACCTTGAGAGGGTTTTGGGGGTCAACGACCCCGCGACTCGGTCTGAGACCAGGCCTCGTGGTGGATCAGGGTCTGATCAACCAGGCTGTTACTGCTGGCCACATGCAAACTGACATACAAACCACAGCCTGGCTGGTCAGGTACTGACTTTAGGTGCCTCTCCAGTGCCTTCTTGAAGACAGCCAGGGGTCTATTGGTAATCCCCCATATGTATGCTGGGAGGCAGTTGAACAGTCTAGGGCCCCAGACACTTATTGTGTTGTCTCTCAATGTACTCGTGGTGCCCCTACTTTTCATTGGGGGAATGTTACATCTCCTGCCGAGTCTTTTGCTTTCATAGGGAATGATTTTCGTATGCAAGTTTGGTATTAATCCCTCTAGGATTTTCCAAGTGTATATAATCATGTATCTCTCTTACCTGCATTCCAGGGAATACAAAACAAGGGACTTCAACTGTTCCCAGTAATTTAGGTGCTTTATCGTACTTATGTGTGCTGTGAAAGTGCTTTGTACACTTTCCAGGTCCGCAATTTTGCCTACCTGAAAGGGGACAGTTAGTGTACAGCAGCATTCCAGCCTAGAGAGAACAAGCAATTTGATGTGAATCATCATGAGCTTGGCATCCCTAGTTTTGATGGCTCTCATTATCCATCCTATCATTTTCCTAGCAGATGTGGTAGATACATTGTTGTGGGCTTAGAAGGCGAGATCCTCTGACATTATTACTTCCAGGTCCTTCACATTACTTTTTCACTCTATTGTATGGTTAGAATTTGTTGTATACCCTGATACAGTTTTAATTTCCTTAAGTTTTCCATATCCGAGTAGTTGAAATTTCTCTTAATTGAACTTCATATTGTTTTGAGTGGCCCACATGAAGATTTAGTTGATGTCCGCTTGGAGTCTTGCAGTGTCTTCGTTGGAGGTCACTATCATGGCAATTCCGGTGTCATCCGCGAAGGAAGACACGGAGCTATGGCTTACATCTCTGTCTATGTCAGATATGAGGATTAGGAATAGGATGGAAGTGAGTACTGTGCCTTGTGGAACAGAGCTTTTCACCGTAACTGCCTCAGACTTTACTCTGTTTACCATTACTCTGTGTTCTATTTGTCAGGAAGTTATAAATCCATCTACTAATTTTTCAAGTTATTCCTTTATCATGCATTTTGTGCATGATAAATTAAAAATGGAGGGCAAGTGTAATATAGGAGAGGAATATGGATGTGATTAATAAACAGAGGAAATGTTACTTTTGTGCCTGGAATATCTACTGTGTTTATTATGGACTGTTTTTAAATTGAATTTTTTTTAATTTTGTGTACAAATGATCATATTACCAAATTCTGTACACTTTATTGGGTAGTTCTGATAGTTGAATGGGTGGTTACTTGTGCTCAACTGATGGTACCAAAGGCATACTGGCATATTACCTAAGAACACAGTCGAATAAGCAACAGAATTTGCTTAACTCTTTCACTGTCGGTGCTGTATAGGAACGGCTTACAAGCCAGTGTTGGCAACGTATTAGTACACAAAAATTCTAGTAGCTTCAAATGTAGCAGGAGAAAACTAGTAGACCTGGGTGTGAGAGAATGGGTCTGCATGGTCAGTGTGTGCAGTATAAAAAAAAAATCAGGGAGCCAGTGGTGCATTGTGAGAGTCCCATTTCGGTAGGCCTTGTTTACCATGCTTTGCATTAAGAAATGTCTCGCTCCCAGGTGAATTGGGACTCTTCTCTTCCCAAGTGATAGTTCTAACATAGATGGAAGTGTCAGTGAAGATGAATTTCATGGTTTTGAGGAGCTTGTGACCAAAAGCAATGCCCAGGATACTAGAAATAGTGCTGAAAACCCAGACGACCATCAACCTAGGATAACCCAAAAAAGTCAAAGTGACTTATTTCCATATGGGTGGTGGGCAAGACAGCATGGTTATTGGGGAAGACGGTATGGGTGATGTGTGATGGTGGTTGTGTAATGCATCATGTGACACCAGCCAAGTCGCTCTCAACACATCCACAACAAAGGCTACCCAAGCCGCTCTCAACACATCCACAACAAAGGCTACCTTCAACCACCCACACACAACATCCTTCCACAAGCTGTAGCAATTCTAGGACCGTGTCCAGTGACTATATTGCCTGGAGTTTACCTGGAGAGAGTTCCGGGGGTCAACGCCCCCGCGGCCCGGTCTGTGACCAGGCCTCCTGGTGGATCAGAGCCTGATCAACCAGGCTGTTACTGCTGGCTGCACGCAAACCAACGTACGAGCCACAGCCCGGCTGGTCAGGAACCGACTTTAGGTGCTTGTCCAGTGCCAGCTTGAAGACTGCCAGGGGTCTGTTGGTAATCCCCCTTATGTATGCTGGGAGGCAGTTGAACAGTCTCGGGCCCCTGACACTTATTGTATGGTCTCTTAACGTGCTAGTGACACCCCTGCTTTTCATTGGGGGGATGTTGCATCGTCTGCCAAGTCTTTTGCTTTCGTAGCAAGTGATTTTCATTTGCAAGTTCGGTACTAGTCCCTCTAGGATTTTCCAGGTGTATATAATCATGTATCTCTCCCGCCTGCGTTCCAGGGAATACAGGTTTAGGAACCTCAAGCGCTCCCAGTAATTGAGGTGTTTTATCTCCGTTATGTGCACCGTGAAGGTTCTCTGTACATTTTCTAGGTCAGCAATTTCACCTGCCTTGAAAGGTGCTGTTAGCGTGCAGCAATATTCCAGCCTAGATAGAACAAGTGACCTGAAGAGTGTCATCATGGGCTTGGCCTCCCTAGTTTTGAAGGTTCTCATTATCCATCCTGTCATTTTTCTAGCAGATGTGATTGATACAATGTTATGGTCCTTGAAGGTGAGATCCTCCGACATGATCACTCCCAGGTCTTTGATGTTGGTGTTTCGCTCTATTTTGTGGCCAGAATTTGTTTTGTACTCTGATGAAGATTTAATTTCCTCGTGTTTACCATATCTGAGTAATTGAAATTTCTCATCGTTGAACTTCATATTGTTTTCTGCAGCCCACTGAAAGATTTGGTTGATGTCCGCCTGGAGCCTTGCAGTGTCTGCAATGGAAGACACTGTCATGCAGATTCGGGTGTCATCTGCAAAGGAAGACACGGTGCTGTGGCTGACATCCTTGTCTATGTCGGATATGAGGATGAGGAACAAGATGGGAGCGAGTACTGTGCCTTGTGGAACAGAGCTTTTCACCGTAGCTGCCTCGGACTTTACTGTTGACGACTACTCTCTGTGTTCTGTTAGTGAGGAAATTATAGATCCATCGACCGACTTTTCCTGTTATTCCTTTAGCACGCATTTTGTGCGCTATTACGCCATGGTCACACTTGTGTATATATACTATAGAACAATAGTAATAAACAACTTTTTTTTATTGTTGGTTTGTGTAAACAGGTTTTGTAAACACTGTAATGATGATAATATTTGTGCAATTATTGTGTTGCATATAACGAGTGTAAATATATACATTACACATTATACTGGTCTCACAGGTCACAAACGTTACTCAAAAAAATAAAATATTAAAAAATAAAAAAAACTAGAATAACAGTAAAAATAATATCACTGAGAGAGCGGCAGTCGCCGATGTTACCATGAGTGGTTCACTTTCTGTCACCTTCATGCCTCTGGTGGCCTGGTGGCTAACGCTCTCGCTTCACACGGCGAGGGCCTGGGTTCGATTCCCAGCCAGAGTAGAAACATTGGACGTGTTTCTTTCCACCTGTTGTCTATGTTCCCC